ATACATACATACATACATACATACATACATATATAAATGAAAACCTGTGATTCCCAGTGTGTTCTCAGAAGGAACCATTGAGTTGTAATGTTTATTGTGAAAACACAAAAATCTACCTTTGCGAGGTAGGATCATCTGGTAATGAGTTAAACATCAACCAAAGTGAAATCGTATGTTGTTTCTGTTAACCTCTGCCAACTCTTTGGAAATAAGCCTCCAGTGTGCTGGTAAAAAGGCAAATGTCGTTTTTCTGTTGACCCAAAACAACGCAACCTTGTTGATGGAGCAGAGGTTGGCAGCTGACTTTAAAGTAACTGAGATGCAGCTTTCAGAAATGGTCAAGAAACAGCAAAAAGCAACTAGAAAATCTTGGAATGGAATGGATGGAATGGGAGTTGGAAGGGACCTTGGAGGTCTTCTAGTCCAACCCCTTGCTTATTTCGGACAAATGGGTGTCCAATCTCTTCTTCAAAACCTCCAGTGTTGGAGCAGTCTCAACTTCTGGAGGCAAGTTGTTCCATTGATTTCATTGTTTTCCCTGTCAGGAAATTTCTCTGTAATTCTAAATTGCTTCTCTTTTTGATTAGTTTCCATCCGTTGCTTCTTGTTCTTTCTTCGGGTGCTTTGAACAATAGGTTGACCCTCCTCTTCTTTCTGGAAGGCTCTGAGATATTGGAAGGCTGCTATCATGTCACCCCTGGTCCTTCTTTTCACTAAACTAGACATATGCAATCTCCTTAGTACTAGGTCGCTTCTCTCCTTGATGAGTTTCCATCCATTGCAACGATTTCCATCCATTAGGGGATGAGCAAACTCCATCGATCCAGAAAAGGAACATTCTAGAAGGAAATATTTCCCTCATGCTGAAGGAAAAGGGAATATTCCACCATTTCCATTCAGATTTGCAGTGGTGTCTGGAAGTTTGCCTTCCAAACTGAAAACTGTTTTAATGTTAAGGATAAAACTACCTTGTTTTTAGAGCTGGGTCAATCATTGTTGACCCCTACACTCGTGTCAGGCTGAAATTCTTAGAAATCCTCTTATAAATGGGAAGGAAACCAAAGGAGAAGGCTCTTCGTAGGTTTCTGATATTAGCTTTGAAGGAAGTGGACCTGAGGTCAAATCATTACAAAGACCTAAGCCTTTTTAGCAGGTTCATCTAAGTTGCTCTTTCAGGTTGATTTGTTGTTCAGCCTAATGAAACCATGTGACGGTAATTCAGTATAAAAACAGAAGATCTCGCTAGAAAAAATCCAGTTGAGTAAACTTCCGGAGAACCACAGGTTCCTTATCTGCAGTTGTCATTGTACCTTGCGGTTTTAATCTGTTTTATTGGAATTAGCTGTGTGCCAGGGGTGGGATGCAAATATTTTTACTACCGCTTCTGTGGGCGTGTCTAGGTGGGAGTGGCCATGTGACTGGGTGGGTGTGTCTTCTTTTTTTCTTTTTTTGCAGCACCCCCCCACACACACCCCTTTTTGCCTCCTGGGCCTTAAGGAAGCCACTTAGGCGAAGCAGTAAGACAGCAAGGGGGATGTTGGAACAGCTGATTGTCAGAACAGCTGATCGTCGGAACAGCTGATCGTCGGGAAGGAAAAAAAGAAAGAAATACCGATTTGGCCGAACCAGCAGCTGTTTTTTTACTACCAGTTCTGCCAAACAGTAGCCATTTTTACTACTGGTTTAGCCGAACTGGGCTGAACGGTAGAATACCACCACTGGTGTGTGTTAACCTTCAGTGGAAAAGTTGGTTAACAATTTTTAGGCAGAATCCTTAAAAGGCGAAATTCTTAAAATTTGCTCTTGTCTGCTATTTTGCGGGATCCAAAATAAATCCCGCTTCTTTCGTTCGGTTTAATGGTTGACGGGTTCGTCTGCTGGGTTGATTGTTTATATGTCTGTTTTATTTATTTTTGACTGTTTTTAGTTTGCTATGGAGGTTTTCAGCTGTTGGTCCCAGGTTTGCGAGATGCACAGCTATATAAATATACTATATAAATAAAATAAAGACATTTGATTTATGAATATGGTTTATTTATTTAGCTGCCTGCTTCGCACAAGTAAATCTTGGGTGGCTTGCAAGATTAAAACAGAGGAACCCACCCAACATATAAACGCCCCCAGCTCCCAAGGATCAACAGTTGGCCTCGCTCACCATCAGCCTTTTCCTGCAGATATCTTAGTCAGATGAGAAGAGATAGTCCTTAACTTACAGCAGTTCATTTAGTGACCATTCAAAGTTGCAACAGCGTTGAAAAAGGTGACTTATGACCGTTTTTTACATTTACGACCATTTTATTCAACAGCCCATAGTTACGTGATTAAAATTCAGAGGATTCATATTTACGGTGGTTGCAGCATCCTGGGGTCACATGGTCCATTTTTGCGATCTTCAGACAAGCGAAGTCAACGGGGAATCCAGATTCACGAAGCAACCCTGTTGCTAACTTAACAAATGCAATATTTTCTTAACCACTGTAGCAAGAATAGTCGTAAAATGGAGCAAAATTCACGTAATAAATGTCTCACTTAGCAATATAAATTTTGGGCTCAATTTTAGTCATAACTTGAAGGACAAAGTAAAGTAAAAGTATTTCTTGTGTGTGTAAAGTATTGATTGTTGGGCACTGGGAGGTCTGTCTTGAGTGGGCTTGTCCATTGTAATCTTGTAAGCCATCCTGCGTCACTTATGTGAGATGGCAGCTATATGAATCATATTGATCCACCAGTCAATCAAATGTATAAGAAACAGATCATTTTGGAGTTACTGTCATCACATTCTCCATGCTGGGCCAAGGGCTAAACGTAGGAAAAGGAGCAGCAGAGCCTGGGAGTGGAGTCAAGAGAGGAACCAGTCTAGAATCTTTTCGTAGCCACAAAGAAAGTCCAACCCTCCTTGAATTCTGTTCCCCTGATTTAACTCCAAGCTAGACCTGATCTTGTGCACCCGGCATTAGCAGAGTTAACAATGGGAGTGGTGCTGTGGCCTAGAGCTGGAGCTCTCGCCTCGCAATCAGAAAGCTGAGAGTTCGATCCTAGGCAGAGGCAGTGTACTTCTCTCTGTGTGCACAATGAGAATATACCTACTGAACAAAACTCCGGATTGGCGACAGGAAGAGCATCCGGCCACTAAACACTCTTGCTTGGTCCATTCAGTTGCCCAGACTTCACCCCTCAAGGGATTATGGGGTTGTTAAACGAAGGTGATGATTAGCAGAGTTAACTCTTAACAACTCTCTCTTTCTTCCCCTCAGTGTCCCTAATTCCTGCCCGGCTAGTCCTCGAGGTGCTGGTTCCTCAGGTTATCGCTTTACCCACAACGTTACCTCTGACCTCCAACTGGCTGCCGAATACGCAGCAAAAGCTACTTTGGAGCAGCAGACGGACGCCTCCGGTGGAGACAGCCCAAAGGTTGGCAGACTCCTTGCCCTATCCCTTGTGCAAAAGCTGCGTCAGTGGTCGGGAGGGTAAGCGGTATAGGTAGATAACCAAGCCAGAGAGGTGGCCATCTTGAGACCTGGAGAAAGCTTAAGTTGGTGGGATCTGGTTGTCTTCCTGCTGTTTCCCCAGTAGGAGCTGTAGAAAAGATGAAGGAAGGAGGGAGAGAGAGAGAGGACCAGCTACAAGGCTGTGATTCAGCCGGTTTGGACCGGTTTGGGTGAACCGGTAGTTCTGGCGATTAGTTGGCCCGACCCTGCCCTAGTCTGTCCTACATGAATCAAGGAGAGAAGCAACCTAGAACTAAGGAGACATTCTCTGACAGTTAGAACAATCAATCAGTGGAACAACTTGCCACCAGAAGTTGTGAATGCTCCCACACTGGAAGTTTTTAAAGAAGAGATTGGATAACCCTTCGTCTGAAGTGGTCTAGGATTTCCTGCCCAAGCAGGGGGTTGGACTAGAAGACCTCCAAGATCCCTTCCAAATCTGTTATTCTAAATTCAAATCCTCGGTCCTTCCTTTACCTTGAAACGCATCTGTTTAGTTGCCTCTGACCTTGTTAGACAAGCTGGGGCCTAAATTATTAATGTCCTGCGAAGCTGCTAAAATCTCCCTTTTGTGTTTGTGTTTCTGGTCCACAGGACGAGTCCAAACCACCGTATTCCTACGCCCAGCTCATTGTTCAAGCTATCTCGTCAGCTCAGGACAAGCAACTAACACTAAGTGGCATCTATGCTCACATTACAAAGCATTATCCGTATTACAGGACAGCAGACAAAGGCTGGCAGGTAAAGTTTTCTTGCTTGCTTTTCTTCTGAAGATGTTTCGCTTCTCATCCAAGAAGCTTCTTCAGTTCTGACAGGACGGGGGAATGGAAGGATTGATATTCCTTGCAGAAAGCTGGTCATTTGCATTCTTTTAGAGAGGTTGTTGAGGCCACTTGGGGGTTTATCTGTGTGCTCAGGGTCACCTGAATAGTGCTCCTGGTTCCTGTAGCCTGCAATTCCCCACCCCCACCCCTCCGGAAATCCATTCCTACTCCTTCGGAGTCTGGTGAGATTCGAACAGCCAAATTGCAGGCAGCTGGCAGTTAGCAGAAGTAGCCTGCAGTACTGCACTCTGACCACTGCGCCACCACAGCTCAATCTCGACTAACCGGTTTCCCTCCTGCAGAATTCCATTCGGCACAACCTGTCCCTGAACCGATATTTTATCAAAGTCCCCCGTTCTCAAGAAGAGCCGGGAAAGGGGTCCTTTTGGCGGATAGACCCTCCCTCGGAAGGCAAGCTAGTGGAGCAGGCATTCCGAAAACGGAGGCAAAGGGGGGTGTCCTGCTTCCGAACCCCGTTTGGACCTCTCTCTTCCCGGTAAGCTCAACGTTACAGCCAAAAAAACAATGCTCACCACCACCTAACTACAGAAAAATTGGCCAAGAGGATGGTTTTTTAAAAAAATAAGAAGTTGAAAATAGAAATTTAGACCAAACCATAGAAGCAATAATTATTTCCAGTTGGTTACAACCAGGCAGTGCCGGCATGTTTACTCCTAATAAATCTTCTTTAAGTTTTGGAGGTTCAGCTAGAGACTCTGTCAACTCATAAAACATTTTGTATACACGTTTTATAGTTGACAACAGAAAGAGGAGGTGGGGGTAGTTTCAAAGAGCAGGCGGCAGTGTGGAATCGAAAGTGCATTCCATTCATATTTTCTTCAAACGCTGATTAGATGACTGAAGCTTCTGCCCTGCAAAAATCTAATTGGAGAACATGATTGATAACTCTTGGCTCTTGGTTTTTCATTGGATGATACACCCAGAGGGGTGGGGGAGGGGAAAGCAGCATCAAGGGGGACGGTGAATTACATATCTCAGAGTTGGCTACGCCAGATTAGTGCCGGACGTAGAATGTTAACTTCAAATAAAATGTTCACTTTCTTGAGGGCAGCGACAGAGTTTCATATTTAAGGTGGGCTGTTAAAAAAAAAAAAGACAATAAAATTAGCTTATCCAAAACTGTACACTGAATTTGCAAAGAATGCTGGCTTTGATCTGTGGTTTTTTCTTGGTTCTCTTCCAGGAGCGCGCCCGCCTCCCCTACTCACCCCGGCCTGCTTTCTCCCCACACGAGTGGCCTACAGACTCCAGAGTGTGTGTCGAGGGAAGGCTCCCCGATTCCTCATGACCACGATTTTGGTTCCAAGCTTGCTTCTGTCCCCGAGTATCGATATTCACAAAGTGCTCCTGGTAAGGAAGGTGCCTCTGTTGGACCTGCCAGCCCTTAAACCTCTACATAGAAAAAAGATCCTTGGCTCCATTGGTTGAGAAAAGTAGCGTTTTATTCGAAGTGTTGCGGTTATGCGCAGCCGGAACTGAGAATCACATGCCGAGAGTTATTCAACTTTTTCCTCCCTTTTCCTTCCTTCTGTCACAAAACACACACACACCTACCTCCAATGACCAATCAGGCTCAAGCAAGATATTTTCAGAACCGCTACTTCAAGCTAGGTTGGTATGTAGCTGCCACCTTCTCCCAGCTGGGTGACCTTGAAGCAGCATCTCAGGAAGATACAGAAGTTACTTTCGCTTTCCCCCTTCCCCAAGCCTTCCTCTCCCATCTACTTTCCCCAGAGTTCACGGCAGACTGTTACCGCATGGTAGTGTGGCACACAAGGAAGCGTAAAGTGGCAGCTGACAGCCTCTAGTAAAGCGGTCGGCTCTATCCAGAGTTTTTGCCACCCTGTTAGACTCCTTGATGTGGGCTCAAGATAGCAAACAAATGTTAGGAGTATCTGTGGGAAAATTACCTCAAAAGAGTATCATGAGCAAGGGGGGGCACCTGTTATGCCCCTGTCGGAATCTGATTCGGAGGGGGAGGCCAAGCAGCTGACAGGGAGTGGGAGTGTGGCTCTGTTGGCTGTGGAAGAAACTGGGGAAAGGCACAGTCCAGGTGGACAGAGCAAGAGAGAGGGAATTTGGAGGAAGACCGAGGCCCTTCCCCTCTTCATCCTAGGGCACACAGGGAGGAACAGAGAAGGGAGCAACGTGAGTTGTGTGGCTTACGGGGGAGGAAAGGGCCCTGATTCCCTTCATTAGCTGTAGCTAGGAAGACAGTGTTGAAAAAGGAAAACTACGCACAGCAAAGTTGTTGGAAGCCAATCGTGAGTTATCTGGTATCGTCTAGGCTTATCTGGGTTCCTGGCGACTTCCCAGCTGTGTGTTTTTTGTTGGCCTTTCAAGTCTGCAATTCCTTCTCCTGCCCTGTCAAGTTACTGCAGCTTGGCTTGTTTGGATTTTTAGTTACAAGTTTGTATGTACTTTGTTTTTGGACTGAATCTCCTCCACTTAAAGACTGTTCTTGGGAGAGTTTTTCTCCAGCCCAAAGGTAACCTGGACATTGTGGGGCCAAGCTGGAGATAATAAAGGGACTCTTCTTGCGTATTTCACTGTGTTGCCTTTGTGCCACGCCCCTTTGGGTCATCACAGCCCCAGCTTTTTCAAATGGACAATGTTGTGAATCGTCAAGTTTGGAGAAACCAGTTCTTGGTTTTTAGTGGCGTGTGGTTCTTGAAATTTATTTTAACTTTATTCAGGAATGCTGGATTCCAATCTCCTGTTCTGGCCAGTGATGAGTCTCTTCTTCTTCCCTTCCTCCCTTTTTCCCTCTTCCACTCCCTTTCTTCCACCCCCTCCGTCTCTTTTTCAGGATCTCCCGTAAGTGCCCAGCCGGTGATCATGGCTGTTCCTCCCAGGCCTTCTGCGCTGGTGGCCAAACCAGTCGCCTATTTGCCCGCCTCCATCATGACCTCTCAGCAGCCTTCAGGTCACGCGGTTCACGTGGTGCAGCAAGCCCCCACTGTTACAATGGTCCGAGTTGTGACGACTTCGGCAAGCTCAGCCAATGGCTACATCTTGACCAACCAGGGGCCAGCTGGGAGCACCCATGATGTGGCAGGGACTGTCCTCGACTTGGCTGGTGAGCCTCGGGGTAGGATCTTGTCCCCCAGAATGCCCCTAGAATGGCAAAGGTCTAGTCTTGCCTTAGCCATGAAGGCCAATTGGGTGACTTGGGGCCAATCACCAGGCGACAGTGATTTCTAGTCCCGCCTTAGCCATGAAAACCAATGGGGTGACTTTGGGCCAATCACCAGGCGACAGTGAGTTCTAATCCCACCTTAGTAATGAAAGCCAGCTGGCTGACTTTGGGCCAATCACCAGGCGACAGTGATTTCTAGTCCCGCCTTAGCCGTGAAAGCTGGCTAGATGTCTTTGGGCCAGTCCCTGTCTCTCAACCTAACCGTACCTCACAGGTTTCTTATTGTGGGGAAAACAGGAGAAGGACGGTGTGTTGGATGTGTTTGGTGCCTTGAGTTAACTTGTCGAAACAATAAAGGCAGGATACAGATAAATAAAATAAAATCTCTCTTCTCTCCCTGCAGGGTTGGACGAGAAACCCACCATCGCCTTTGCTGCCATACCGACTGCCAGTCGGGTCATTCAGACGGTGGCCAGCCAAATGGGTCAGGGCATCCCCGGACAGACGGTCACCATCCTGCAGCCAGCCACCCCCATGGCCCTCGGGCAGCACCAGTTGCCTGTCCGCACGGTGACCCAAAACGGAAAGCATGCCATTCCCACAAACAGCTTAAGCAGTGGGACTTACGGTAGGTATTAAAAACATCTCTCCTTTGTTCTACCAGGGTTTGCGAGCCTTTAGACTCTCTCCAAAGCGAGTTTGCTTTGCCTCGTAAAATAAAAATAAAATAAAATGAATTTGGAGGGTCCCCGCAGTCACATGAGATATTGCATGCTACCGGTTCTGCGCACTTCACGCGCACACTCACACACTTCAAAGCACAGCGTTCAAAGATCCCTTCACCCACACGCAGCACTCAAAGATCACTTCGCGCGCATGTGCAGCACTCAAAGATTGCCCTCCATGAGGTGAGCTGTTTTTTTTAGCTCAGCTGAGGCGCGGCAAAGATCACTTCACACACACGCATCCCCCAAGGATCACTTTGTGCACATGTGCAGCCCTCAAAGATGACTTCACGTGCACGCACAGCGCTCAATCGCTCTGCGCACACACGCAGCACTCTAATATCGCTCTCGGTGAGGTGAGCTGTTTTTTAGCTCAGCTGAGACGCGGCAGCTGAGGTAAAAATCAATGGAATATAGGACGGAAAAGGGCGGGGGGGGGAGGGGTCCAGTCAGAGGTGGTATTTGCCGGTTCTCCAAACTGGTCAAAATTTCTGCTACCGGTACAACAGAACCGGTCCGAACCGGCTGAATATCACCTCTGGTACCACTTAGGAGATAGCAGCTTTCACTGCGCCTCAGTGTAGAGTTCATCCTGGCCACATGACCATGGAAATGTTTTTGGACAATGCTGGCTCCCTCGGCCAAGATCATTCTGATAATCAGAGTTGGAAGGGACCTTGTAGGTCATCTAGTCCAACCCCAAGAATCGGAGATGAGCACAAACATACACACACACACACTAGAGTCGTACACAACCGGACAGGGGAAATCTTTACCTTTCATCCAAATAGACGCTGGGAGCTTTTCTCAAGTCCTTTCTCTCTCTCTCTCTCTCTCTCTCTCTCTCTCTCTCTTTTTTTTTTTACCCCCTTGACTCCAGCCCTCTCGAACCCCTTGCAAGTCCTTGCAGCTCAGGCTAGTTCCTCCACCCCCGTGGTCATCAGCCAGACAAGAGAAGCCGGGATGAAAGATCCCGACGAGCTTTTGAGAGAACCCGATATCAAACGACCCCGAATCGAAGACCCCAGAGTGGTCGCGGCCTTGCAAACTGGCGTCATCACCTCCACGGCCCCCTCGGGACAATCGGCTGGAGAATGAGGCCGCAGGAAGATGAGAAGTGGCACCCGAGGCGCTGAGGGAGAGAAAAACCTCTCTCTTTTTTGTTTTTTGTTTTTTTGTTTTCCTAGCAGAACTCTTTTCTTTCTGCAATTACTTAACACCTGGATCATTTCAGTGGGTTTCTTCCCCCCCCCCCGCTTTTTTTTTTTTAAATCTTCTTTTGAACATTTGGAAGGACGGGGCAACGTTTGTCAGGAATGTCGAGGTGCCAAATGAATTGGGCAAAAAAATTTCGATCTTTCTGGACCCAAGGAATGAATTTTACTTCTGTTTTTCTCTTCGGAGATGTCTTCTTTCTTTCTTTTCTTTCTTTCTTTCTTTCTTTCGAGATTTTTAAAAAAAGAGACACAGACCATTTTGATTGTTTGGGATATTTCTCTATCCCTCCTGGCCTTCCTTTTAATTTTCACCCCTTCCTCGTTTTTCCTTTTTACGCATGGTAGTTTATGTGCGAGCATACTAAAAATGCAGGACAGAGACACGAACTTCAGGTGGGAACATCTGACCTCAAAAACAGGTTTATTTTTATTTTTGTTTTTGTTTTTCACTCTCCAAGGAAGAGAAGTGCATCATCCTATTTTGTATCTCAGAACTCCAACTGATGAAAAATTATCTGCAAAAAAAAAAAAAAAATTACTTGCAAAGCAATATCATACTTCGGTAACTGCCACCTAAAACGGCGGATACGTGTTTATATTTCCTTTGTGTTGCCTACCTGCAGTCCAGTTCACCTTCTGACAATGGGGTGTCATACCCTTACCCCAAATCTTCATCCCAGAGCACAGTAAAATTAGTTTATCCCAGTTAGACGGCTTCCAAATGGCATTCGAAGCCTAAACTTCCCAGAATTCTTAGCCTACTGGACAGATGGGGGGGGTGGGGATTCTGGGAATTGCAGTCACAGCCTACCTCATTGGGATGGCTGACCTACACAGCACTTGGCTCCACAGGTGCCTTTTGGAGAAAGAGAGAAAAGTTTTATTTTAATTGTTGTCTGTTGAATAAAAACAGCCAATGGTGATTCAAAAAGGTCCAAAATTTGTGGATCTTTTAAAGAATTGTCGTACCTACAGGCTTGTAAAACAACCGCGTGGGTTCCTTAATTTCATTCCTGTTGATTTTTGACAGAGAAGGAATAGAATTTTTAAAATATTTTTAACCTTTAACGGATAGTTCCCGGGAGAGCTCTGTTGTGTTATGGTTCGAGCGTTGGACTTTCATCTAGAGAGAACCAGGTTTAAAAGCATGAAACTCTCTGGGTAAACCTTGGACCAGCCATTGTTTTGTTTCAGCTTAACCTACCTCACAGGGTTGTTGTGAGGACAAAGGGGGCGGGGGGGTGAGGAGAGCTATGTATGCCACCTTGAGCTTGGAGGAAAGGCAGAATACATAAATAAACAAAACCCCGTAATAAATCAGTAACTATCAACCTGTCAGGTCACACAATCCCTTGTCTCACTTCAAAGCGTAGGCTTTTGTGTGTGTGTGTATGTGTGTGTGTGTGATGAACAAGATAGAACGGAATCTCGATCCATTTTCCTCTGGTAAGTTTTGCAAGCCGGTAATCGTAGCAGTGATCTAGATCTAACTGCAGGTTTGGGACCGCCCCAGATAAGGACGGATGCAAAATTGAAGGTGAAATGGAAGTTCACGAGTTCAGAAGGTTCCAGTAAGATGAAATTAAATAAAAGAGCTGTTAATATTTCAAGAATGCAGGCCTCCTCCTTTCATCTGACCTCAGCAGCCCTTCGAGACTTAAAAAAATGCTCCCCTGATGAACATCATGGAAGAAAAGAAATAGCGGGGAAAGGTTTTAATTACTGTGGGTTGATCTGAATGTCTTCTCTGCCCTTTTCTTTTAAGCTACATTAAACTACATTGGTTTGCGTTTTCCCTTTGCAAATAATCATAACCCTGAAGCTGTGGTTGTGCGAAATGTAAAGTAGACTGTCTTATCAAAAAAACCAATTCTTTCCAAACCCACCACCACCCCCAAAAAACCCACATCTCTGCATATGTCAGAAAGTACTAAGGATAGGTGCCAACCATCACAAAGTTGAGAAGACTGGTGTTTCATCTTAACACCAATGCTGGATAAGTCCAGGGAGATGTTTTGCACAGGAGATTCTTATGCTCAGGATCTTGTCGTCTTTCTTCCCTGACCTGAGATCCTGCATAATTACGTCAATGGATACCGACCTGCAAATAAACCCTAGTTTCCTTTAGCCAGGGTTTGTTCAACAGGCAGATCCAGCTGGGTTGGAGATGCTTCTGGAAGGGTCAAGCTATGTTGGATCTTTTTGTTTTCAAAAGCCCTCATGAATTGATTTCATGTCACTACAAGATCTTTATTTTGATAATATTTGTTTACTTACTTTGGCTTTTGAAGCCAAGCAAAAGGCATGTCTGTGTGTGTGAGAGAGAGAAAGAGAATGCCTTTTTGGCTTTCTTCGAACAGTTGAGTCTTTAGGATTACCTCCAGACCTGACATTTGGAAATCTATTTTAAAGCAGATAACTTGGAAATGAATCCCTGCATATAAGGGAGCTGTTTTCGAAGAGTAAATATTTTTCTCCAAATGTCGACAGCAAGGTTCTTTGTACCTTGGTGTATATTTTGTTCCTTTTTCCACCTGCACATAAAGAAAGAGTAACTTTCTAGCTTTTTCTCTCCTCCCCACGCCTGCATTTTAACATTTTCATTTACAGGTCCTGCATTTTAACATTTTCATTTACAGGTCGTTCGTCACCACTTAATAGGTTTGCGGATTCCTGCCGTGTTGGTGATAACCCAGTTTTCATTTTTAATTGCCAAATGCCCTGGGTCGGAGTTCTTGAATTAATGACACAGTCAATTTCAACCAAAATGTAAATGCCTCTGCTCTGATGCTCAAAAGAATAATGTGTTTGTGTAACAGAGCATTTACCCAGGCTGAATTTTAAAGGTTGACCCAGAAACAGATTGGGGCTTCCAAACCCGCTTGTACAAGCATCCCCCCACTCTTGATTTCCATATCAAAAACACGTTTTAATAACGTCAGGGCAGAAAACTGACAGGTGACGACTTGCTGAATCGAATTTGCGTCAAGTTGGCAAAACAAACTTGAGTTTATCTCAAGTGAGAGCCAAGTTGTGTGGAATTCAATTTGGACTTCTGAACTGAAAAACTAAGCATTGGGATATCTATGGTAGAAGTTGCAGTGGAATACAGATAGTCCTTCTTAACGACCACAATGGAGTCCCAAATTTCTGTTCAGTGAGACCATTGTTAAGTGAGCTTTGTCCCATTTTATGACTTTTCTTGCCACTGTTGTTAAGCGAACCAATGCAGTTGTCTAGTCATACAATTTTTGAGTGAATCTGGCTTCCCCATTGATGTGGCTTGGGACACTGCAACCGTCATAAATATGAGTCACTTGCCCAGCATCTGAATGTGGAGCACCTGATCCTTTATGCAACGGTCGTAAGTGTGAAAAACGGTCATAAGTCACATCTTTCAATGCCATAACTTTGAACGGTCACTATCATTAAGTACAAAAGATTCATGCACTGATATAAAAAGCAGTTGGCAGGGACAAGTGGGCAGGATTTGATGGGTTTTTATCAATTGTTCCACTGGCTAGGACTCGGTGCTTAAATTATTGACTGAATTGGGATATTGCACAAAGCCTTGATTTTAACCAAGCACATGAATGTCGTCATAGTTTACAAAACCAGAGTGCTCTTATTTTTGTATGGCACATCATATTTGTCCTTTTTTAAAATGTTCTGTTGGAGCAGCTGCGTTCCAAGACATAGCTGGGCATCCAGACAAAAGCCAAATTTGATTTAACTGACCTTGAAATGTAACTAAAATTAGCTTCAATTAAATGCAGTTAATTTAATTCCGGCCCGCCGTGTTAATAATTTCCTTCTTTCATGCTGAGAGTGATAAACTGGGAATAGCCAAGACTTGGGGGAGCAGGAGCAGTTTTAGGAAGCCGCTTTCTGGATGCCTGGTTTGGGCTAACTCCATTGTGTGAATTTTTGCCATTTGTTAGGCTAACCATGGTTAGAACTAATGACAGAAGGGTGTATAAAGCATACCCTGATCACTGTATCATGGTGGTTGTGATAAAAATTTAAGGAACGGAACCATGGCTATCAACTTGATAGGGAAAAGGCAATTTAAAAGCATAATAAGAGCAGATTTGCCAACTTGGGAAGTGAATAAGAAATAATTATTTAAAGGTGGATGCAGTGAGTGGAAAGGAATGCTCTTTAGGCTACTGAGATCCTTCAACCTACCCACTTTCAGCAAAATTGGTGAATAATAATTAAATTTATATGCCACCCTACTTCCACTAGCAGCTAAGTTGATCTTAGCCAAGTCAACTGCAGCAGCTACATCAGAGAGACAATATTTATGCAATTCCATTTACGATGTTGCTGGAACAAGATTCTTGTGAATAAATAGAAAGGTCTCAAATCACTTTGAACTATGGTTTGTTTGTTTGTTTTTAAGAAAAAAAGATCAGATTTTTTTTAGACAACCCTCTTCCTGGGTTCTTGATGTGCTGTACTGGGAGGAATTTCTGCACGGTGGGGAAAAATAACCAGTAGTAAATTCTACGCAGTGTCAAGTCACTTCCAAAACAGCCCATTTCTATAAAGCATGCTTTGCATTTATACTGCCGTATATATTCCTGGAAGAAGGGTTGGAAAGAGACAGGAACAAAATATTCATGGGGAAAAAAAATAGCCCAATATATCTCTTGGTAAGAAGTATTAGCATTTTTTTTTTTTAAGGATCAATTTTCCCAGCATTTTTTTTTTTTAATTCCAGATGTATAATGGAAAAATACTTCTGGTGATTTTTTATTCTTGATCAGCTTTCAACAAAAGTTGAGCTGCTGTCAAGGCTCCCATGATTTCAACATCCAGGAAGAGAAGGGAGAGGCAGAGCTGATACAATCCATCTGGCTTGAAGTTCCTTGGAACTGAATTCAGCAGTCCGTTTACAATTAGTCTGTCAGGGTAGTGTGATGACCCGGAGTGTAACACAAACGTAACAAAATCCAAAACGTAAATAAATGTCCTTTTTTATGCCTCCAATTTGGTCCCACTGTTCAATAATTCTCAGTTGGAGATAAAACGTATTCAAAAATAGTCTTCAAAAGAAAGCAATACAGACCGAACTTAATGAGCAGATAGAGGTGAAATAAAAAACTAAAACTAAAACTACAATGAAGGAATTTCCACAACGGACCAGGATAAGTAAGTCACCAACTTCAAGGAGATAAGAAGGCACAGTCTGTTGGAAGGACGCCAACCATGATAACTTCAGCCCAAAATAACACACACTTTGACTCTGTAAACCACTTAGAGAGGGTTGTAAAAGCACTGTGAAGTGGTATTTAAGTCTGAGTGCTCTTGCTATTCTGGTGAACCTTCAAACTTGATTTTTATTTTTAGTGGAATCTTCAACTGGGGACTTCATCACATGAACAGCTTTGTGTTTATTGGTAAATTTATGTTTTAAGCTTGCCTGTTGTTATAGAGTTCCTATCATTGCACAGGGTTGGGTAGCACATCTATAGAAATCCAGATTTAGATTAGATTAGATTAGATTAGATTAGATTAGATTAGATTAGATTAGATTAACAGAGTTGGAAGGGACCTTGTAAGTCATCTAGTCCAACCACCTGCCCAAGCAGGAGACTATTACATTTCTGACAAATGGCATCTAATATCTTCTTGAAAGCCTCCACTGATGAAGCTTCCAACTTCTGAAGGCAACTTCTGTTCCATTGGTGGATTGTTCAGATTTGCTGGAGTATATAAACACGGCCAGTTGTGACTGATGTGAGTTTCTAAAACAGCCACGGATTACTTGTCTGGCAAAAATAATAAATCTCTGGACATCAGTCTAAATTTCAGCTGTTAGATGCCAGAGAGGAACTAGAACAAATGGGCAAATACATTTTTTTAGGCTGTTATCCTGGGCGCACTTTTACCGGGGAGTAACATTACTGAATATATTTTTCTGAATATTATATTTAGTACTAACATAAATTTATATCTAATGTTAGATGCCGTATGACTGTAGAACAATAACACCCCCCCCCCCCCAAGATAGCTCAGGAAATACAGGTTGTGTCTTGGTTGACTTTTCTACTTGAGGTTCAAATTGAGAGCACAGTTGTTTAAAAAAATAAAATAAAAGGAAAAAATACAAAAGATTAAAACCAAATCAGTGAAAACTAAAGAGTCAGTTTCTGTCCAAAAGCTTGTTCCTTTTCTACTGTTTTCCGGAACATGGGTTACACTAATTTTAAATGTAGCGTAGAGAGGCAATAAAATGTTTTGAGCTGGGATGTCATTTGGATTACAAGCTGCCTGTCAGCTGAATGAACTCTT